TTTCTTCCATCCTTCTTACAGGTGTTCACTACAATCTCATTTCTTGATTAGCTTCTAGCAATAATTACAAGTGAGATTCAGTCAAGAAGAAAGACTGGCTGTATCTATCTTCTGTCATTCTAAGAGGTATTCACTACAATCTCATTTGTTAATCAGTTTCTAATGAAAGAGATCACAGAAAACCTAATATTCATGTCTGAAGATCTGTTAGACATGCAATGGTTTTTGGTTTGATTTTTCAACTGAAATATTACGTAAAACCTAGAGGGTTTATTTCTTTTGTGAAGTTTTAATCAAGACTTTAATTGTGTTTTAACACTACACACTTATTAAACATCAGAAATTATTTCTTGCAGCATATATAACCACTTAAATTATACTTTACCAGCAAATGTTGCACACATAGTTAAGTAGAAAAACAGTTGAAATTATACTTTACCAGTAAATGTTGCTGCAACATTGACTGGTAAAGTATAATTTCAACTGTTTTTCTACTTAACTGTGTGTTCAACATTGACTGGTAAAGTATAATTTCAACTGTTTTTCTACTTAACTGTGTGTCACACACAGTTAAGTAGAAAAACAGTTGAAATTATACTTTACCAGTCAATGTTGAACACACAGTTAAGTAGACAAACAGCCTAAATTGTATTTTATCACATACTACACCATTTAATATCCTAGTTGCTGGAAACACTACAATTGGCAAATATTGTATTCTACATTAAACACTGTCTAATTTTTTTCCTATAGGTTCTGACTGAAGAAAAGCCAAAGTTTTAAGTATAAAAAGTATTTTTGTAAACATTTTATTTTTCATACAAATTTTATCATTAAGCATCTTAATTATTAACATAATTTTAATTGGTACTACTAATAGTATAAAAATAATTCTCAGAGTAAACATCAGAAGATGGATAATGTAACATTTTTTTACCTGCCACAAGACACTTTGCCATGTCATCTGTTGTAATAATGAACTATGAGCTCCAATGGTGGAGAAGAGTGTCTGCCCAGCACTTTTTCTAACAGCAGACCTAGAGTCTACACAGAGATCACCAAGACGAGAAAACAAAACCATCCACAATTCATCAAAAGCTGGTAAGTTAGTGTCATTACTAGTCACCTCCAAACCTTCCCTAATCTTGTGCTGGTTCTGGTATAAGTAATCTGCAATATTCCACTGCAAAGAAAGACAGTTTGAATTCTTACATTTTCAACAAACAAGTACAGAAATACAGCTCCAACAGATATAATATTCATTACAAGGTATACAAGCAAAAAACTGTTAAACATCTACAATAAACAGTAGCAGCTGTTACAAGTGTAATAAAACATTCAGTAAAGGGTACACAATCAAAGAACTGTTAGACACCTACAATATACAGGTGTAATAAAAGATTCAGTAAAGGGTAAACAATTAAAGAATGGTTAACACCTACAATATACAGGTGTAATAATAGATTCAGTAAAGGGTACACAATCAAAGAACTGATAAACATCTATGATATACAGGTGTAATAAGAGATTCAGTAAAGGGTAAACAATTAGAGAATGGTTAAACACCTACAATATACAGGTGTAATAAAACATTCAGAAAAGGGTTACAGACAAAGAACTGTTAAACTCCTACAATATACAGTAGCAGCTGTTCCAAGTGTAATAAAACATTCAGTAAAGGGCCACAAACAAAGAACTGTTAAACTCCTACAATAGACAGTAGCAACTGTTACAAGTGTAATAAAACATTCAGTACAGGGTACACAATCAAAGAACTGTTAAACACCTACAATATACAGGTGTAACAAAACATTCATAAAGGGTACACAATCAAAGAACTGTTAAACACCTACAATATACAGGTGTAATAAAACATTCAGTACAGGGTACACAATCAAAGAACTGTTAAACACCTTCAATATACAGGTGTAACAAAACATTCAGTAAAGGGTCACAAAAAAGAACTGATAAACACCTACAATATACAGTAGCAACTGTTACAAGTGTAATAAAACATTCAGTAAAGGGTACACAATCAATGAACTGTTAAACACCTACAATATACAGTAGCAGCTGTTACAAGTGTAATAAAACATTCAGTAAAGGGTCATAAACAAAGAACTGTTAAACACCTTCAATATACAGTAACAGCTGTTACAAGTGTAATATAACATTCAGTAAAGGGTACACAAACAAAGAACTGTTAAACACCTTCAATATACAGTAGCAAATGTTACAAGTGTAATAAAACATTCAGTAAAGGGTACACAATCAAAGAACTGTTAAACACCTACAATATACAGGTGTAATAAAACATTCAGTAAAGGGTCATAAACAAAGAATTGATAAACACCTACAATATACAGTAGCAACTGTTACAAGTGTAACAAAACATTCAGTAAAGGGTACACAATCAAAGAACTGTTAACCCTTTTGGAATAGGCATCCTTTTCTGCACATGTCATGAACTTTAATAAAGAAGATGAAGATGGTTGAGAAAACATAAAACATATTATTTACAAGGTTCAAACATTTTGGAATAACTTATTCCATCTTCAGAGAAATCATCTATCCACTACTTAAACCCAGCCACTCATCCATTTGTTCACATTCTGAAACCACAGGTCACAATATTTCATTTAACAATTTTTGTAATATCACCACAGGATCTTCAGAACTTGACCTCTACGTTAAAGAAAGTATACTCATACCTAAAGACTGTCTGACCCTTCACGACTCATGAAGGTCTTTAGATCTAAAATTGTTCTAAATTTTAACATTTAACTCAGCTGTTGTGTAATATATATATATATATATATATATATATA